TGGCGAGGCGAACGTAGGAGCTAGAAAGGCTAAGGCCCAAGCAAGATGCAGCCGCAACTCCCTGCAGCTAGCGGTCGCGGTCTTAGAGCAACCAGGCGAAGGGCTTCCCCTTTCCCGGCGGGTGGCCACTCATGAGTCAGACGTCGACCCCCCCGACTCGGAGGTCGACGAGGCTTTGTGAGACGACGGCGAAGACCCCGACGCCCGTGACGATGAGCCCGAGGAGCTTTCGACCGCCTCGCTGCATCCCTGGAGGCCGGCCGGGAAGCAACGTATGCAGAAGGCCGCCGGGGCGGGGGGGGGGGCCGAGAGCCGAAAGAACTGGCGTCCCCCATAGGGCCAGCCGCAGCCCAGGGCTCGCCATGCCGCCCGGTCGGAGTTGTGCTCCTCCAAATCCGGCTTATGTACCTGCCACGTCCGGGCGAGATATATGTAGTGGTCGGGCCCCTGGTCCTGTTCTTGGACCGCCCTCTCCGCGCGGACGGGACGAACTCAACTCGTGGAAGTCCGGCCCCAGCCGGTACGCCCGGCTGGTCCGACCCCTGTTCCTGTGCCGGTTCCGGGGCAGCCACCTGTGCCCCTTCCCCCGCGCCCTGCTGACCCGAGCCAGCAAGGCGAGCGGGACGGCCAAACTGCGCCCCGCCCCCTAGGTGACCTAGCCCGGCGGTCCCAGCCAGGGCGGCCTCAGGCGCCGATGGGGCCAGGGCCAACGGCGCCGACTGAGTGTACCTCTCGATGGCCCTGGATGACCATGTGCCGAGCAGCTGTATGACTGCCATCGGGATGCCCCTGGACGCCAGGAACGTCGGCCCGGCGACCCGGCAGGCATGCCCCCCGAACGTCTGCCGCTCCACCCCGGCGGAGTCGCGGTAGACCGTCTCCACCCCGTGGCGGTCTTGTGCAACGGTAAGTCGAGGACGACGAGGCCGGGCGAAACGATCATGTCGCCGACCCTGGCGGCCGCCACCTCGATCTCGCGGAGCATGAACCAGACGGCCACGATGAAGACGTCGGTTGAGTGCGCCGCTCTGTTCGGGTCGAAAGCGGCCCTGTCGGCGTAGTCGACCAGCGGCGCAAGGGCCGGGAGCGGGAACGCCTCCTTAAGGCGAGACCCGGGCAGCCCCCGGACGATGGCCTTGATGACCCTATTCGCGAAGCGGCGAAGCAAGGGATCGACCTCGATGCGGAGGTCGTGTTCCTGGTACCGGAAGGCCGCCAGGAAATACTCCTTTGGCGCTGCGGTACGCCCCGGCCCGAAAGGCCGCCCCAATCACCTCCAGCGTGCGGGTCGTGATGGGCCATCCCCAACGGGCGGCGGTGCCGCCAGCATGGCCTCCAAAGCCAGCGGAGAGACCCCTGCCGCCACCCAGCGGTCGACGCGGGCGGTGAGATCGGCGATGTTGCGGGCCCCGGCCTGGGCGAGCAACGGTAGCGCCTCGGACTGGCCGGTCCTCTCGGCCAGCGCGACGAGCTCAGCAAAGGAGCCCTGACGAGGGCCCATGGTGGCGACACTTGAGCCTCTGAGCCGTAAGCCGACAGGCTTGAACCTTCGAGCCGAAGAACCCCTTAAGGAAGCGAGTAGGGCAGGAGGGGGGAAGGGCGGGGCGAGGCGAGGCAGCAAGTCACACTCACTCACTCTTTTTCCGGCGGCTCCACACAAATCAAAATAACTCGCAAAATAAGGGACCAGGCGCGAGCCCGTCCCTGGCGGCAAGCTTAAACAGACAAGCGAAGAGGCCCAGGCGAAGATGTAATAGGAGGCCCAGGCGTTGATGAGGCGGCCCCGTTTTAGGCGAATCGCTGTGCCGGTGTGGGCGGCGCACAGCGCTGGCATTCGTGATGCTCGTGAAGTCGGCCCAGCATCGGCGGGTAATTGACTGGCCGCAAGCACCTGGCGCGATCAGGGCAAGGCTGTCCCCGACGATGGCTGCCAGGACATTTCACGAAGCACCAGCCGATCCACTGCGTGAAGTCGGCGGGGCGCTCTCTGGGCAGGCGGCCGCCCCTGACGTTGTCGGGCAGGGACCTGACGATCACGCCCGCCGAGACGCCCTGTGGTGGGGCGAACGCCCCAGAGGCGATGGCGTTCTCGAGTCGCTCCCCCTCCGCCCTGGCGAAGGTCCGCCCCCGGCTCGTGGAGGTGCTCAACCCCGGCCGCCCCTGATTCCTGGTGCCATAGCCCGCCCGGCCGACTCGGTCCAAAGGCGGGAAGGGCGACGTCGGTGGCGGAGGAACCCCGGCGCATGCAGCCGGGCCCGCCGACGAACCGGTACTCGAGGAGGATGCCGAAGGCGCCGCTGGAGCCATAGTCGCTGGGGTAGGCGCCGAGGGCGGTGCAGAGGATGCCGGGCTGCGGCGCCACAGCCGGCGTGGTGACCTCGGGCGGGGGTCGAGTCGGAGCCGCCCGTGCGGGAGGCGCCGTGGTAACCTGGTAGGTGGCACCGTCGTGCAGCAAGCGCAGGCCAGCCCGACTACGGGCCATCTGCTCCTGGCGGATGAAGGCCGCCCTGCGAAGGTACTCGTCGGATGGGGCCGGAGCCCCTCCAACCACCTCGGGCGTCTCAGCCGCCGCCCCCCGGACGAGGACGATGCCGCTGGCCCACCAGACGTAGTCTCCTGCTTGGGAACCGGCGGGCTCCGAGTCGACGCCGGAGGGCCCACGCGCTTCTGCTCGACGACCTGGCCCTGGTCGTCGAATCGTGGCGGGACCTTCGCCCCGGCGGGGGGCTTCTTCACCGTGGGCTTGGGCTTGGTCGGCGTGTCGTCCAGGAACTTGGTGGGCCTGTCGGGGTAGGGCATTGGGCGGTGCCTTAGTCGACGAGGTGGCCTTGGGCTCGTCGACGACAAGCGCCGGGGGCGGCGCCTTCTTGAAAGGCTTCTTGGGCCCGGGCCCGGGCGCCGACGATGAGGACGCCCCTGACGCAGGCGGTCCGGACGATGTCTTCGCCTTTGCGGCCGCGTCCTGCTCGTCGAGGAAGAGCTCCAGCGACGTGGGCGGCTCGGCGTCGAGGTCGTCGTCTGGGACCGGCTTGGCGGCCGCCATCTCCGCCACAGCTGTGGCGTCCTGTTCCTCCCAAAAGGTCCGGGCGGTTGCCGGCGAAGGCCCCGGGTCCACTACGCCCGTGGGCGCCGGCGTCGTCACAGGCGTGAAGTCGAGGAGGTCCAGCGTAGGCACCGACGAAGAAGAGGGGTCCACTGCCCCTCCAGTCGGAGCAACGTCGACCAATGGCTGCTCCTCAGCCAGCCTGAGCGCCCCGACGAGACGATCGCGGTCGTCACGCGACAAGGCGCGGATCGCAGTCGCCAGAGCCTCCTGGGAGGTGTCGCCCACGAAGGACGAGAAGATCACCTCTTCGGCGGTCTGAACGGCGACATCGTGGGCGTCAAAGGCGATGATCGGCGCGATGTGCTCCGTCTGGGCCTCGCCGTCGACGAGGTCCAAGCCCAGTAGGGGAGACCCGGCGCGATCAGCCAGGAGCTCCTCTTCATCGCCGCTGGAAGGCGGCACGCCCATCACTGGCGGGGCGATGTCGTCGTCGCCCGCCGTTGACTCGACCAATGCCGGCTCGCCCGGTGTGGGCGGCGCGGCGTGCTCCCCGGCCGGCGAGCCCGGCGTGGGCTGCGCGGCCGCCTCTTCAACCAGACCAGGCGCGGTTGTAGTCGATGGTGAAGGCGACGTAGTGGGGCCCACCACGTCGAGGCCAGCCGCAGCGGCAAAGTCCGCCCAGGCGGCGGCGTCACCAGACGAAGCGCCGGAGAAGGCCATGGTATCAGGCGAGAGGCGAAGGGAGCGAAGAAGTCGAAAAGGTCGAGCCCAGATGCTTCGGGGCTCGACCGCTAGAGCTTGTACCTACACACACAAGTGTGTTACACAACAACCGTCACACTGCCTGTTGTTAGTGATGGTGATAGGCACGATGCTTATGGTGCACGTGGTCACAGTGCGTGGTCACCGTCAACCCCACGTCCACGATCACGACGACGATAACGATCCCATCATCAGCACAGCACTACTTCATCACATCATCATGAGTCATGTCAACCTCATCGTCGATCGTGGCGACGATGACGAACACGACCATCATGACAGCATCATCATCATAATCATCATCATCGCCGTCGTCATCACCACCATCACCAACATCGGCATCATCATCATCGTCGTCATCGTCATCATCCTCTGCCTCGTCCTCGTCCTCGCCGTCGTCACGAGCATCACCACCATCGTCATCATCAATCCCGCAATATCCCGCAATCATTGCCACAATGAAAATCACTATCACCACCCCGCCAGTATCCCCATCATGATTTCACCACTATATCACCATGACACTCGCTACCATCACCGTCAGCAAGCAGCCAATACAGGAGTCATCAAAAGAGTGTGCCTGCAGGTTCATTAGTTTCTTTGTAAGCAATGCCAAGCGAGAACCTGTCATCCGTTACGACGCAGATAAGGATCTGGGAGGGCAGTCTAGGCAGAAAGGCCAACGTCAACGTCTTTTGAGCCCGATGTGGCCGGATCAGCGGGGTGCCATCTCTTTGGCGTCGGTCGAAGATGGTGGGTAGCAACTTGAAGCACTCACCTCATCTCCCTAAAACGTTGCCATGCTGGACATTCGCCGAATGGCAACCTAAGCTTCTGTAACATTAAACATTCATTTGGGGTTTTTGCGGGCAAGGACTGTCCTGCAGGCACTGCAGGCAGTCTTGAGATCATTCTTCTCGATGTTTAGTAAGTTTAGTAGTATGCACAGCCTCAATTCGGACCAAACACTCATCGAGGCAGAAACACTTCAGGTGGCTCTGGCTGATGGTACGTGCTGCAAACGCCGAAGGCTAAGCCTGAGTCCCTCAACTCCTGCGAGGCACCGCAGAATTGACTCCGTGGCGAAAGAACCCGAAAGTGGGCTTTTGACTCACGCGAGTCGTTCATGGATGTACCGCAGAAGTGCAATGCCTGCTAAGTCTACCTTTCGAACCACAGTTGAGCGACTTGGTTATGCAGAGACCGGCGTGCATGCTACGCTTTCATTCGCTACGCCATTGATCTTCGGGCTCTTGGCCTTCAATTGTCGCAGCGTTGCCTGTGCCGTGGGCTGGAAAAGACAAGTGACGGACGTACTGATGTAACAATCGTCGATGCAATCAGCACTGAACGACTGTGACCACTGAATCTGCTCACTCAATGGCTACTGAATGCAAACAGATTTTGCGAAAGCCTAAATACGACCGTGTGTGACTCAGCAATAAAGCGGAACCTGCACACAGGTCTACCAGTGGCTGCACCGTGAGATCATTGAACGGATTCTCAAAGTGACATTGCTTTCGTGCTCAGTCCAATGTAAAGTGTCGTTCAAGGACAGACTTCGGAGCCCCGCATGCATGTGCCGGACATGTCATTGCCTCCGGAATGCATTCCTGCACTGAGCGATAGAAGCAGTAGTAGAACTGGTCCTGACGATCGAGCTGTGTCCAATTTGCCTAGCCAACACGGGGAAGTGGCCCAAAGAGAAGTAAACAGAAGTGGCTACCAATGCTGCTGAAGTCAGGCTGGCTTGAAGAACTTCTGAACTCATCCGATTCCCAGCTCAAATCCTTATCTGGATCCCTCCTGAAAGAACCTGTCCTCGTACTTGGCGTGGCGGGCAGGTGCCATTGGCAAACTCTCCGGTGGCAACGGGAAGGACTTGATCTTGGCTTTGATCAGGCTTTCCATCAGAACCTCAGATGCTTGAGTGGATATACCCGCACAACAGCTGTATCGATTCAGATTCGGCTAAAGATCAAGGCTCAATATTGTGGGTGGACGAACTTGCTTTGAGATTGCACGTTCTCAAACAGTATCCACGGTTCATGTATTTACTCACGTAGCAGATCTTCTGCGACTGTAGCCGTGAGGCCGTCTGGGGAGTCTGGCGCCCGTGGCGCACACCACGAAGCTTTCGACGGACATGCAACAACAAATGCAATCAATACTTTGCACATTCTCACCCGGGAGGTGCAAAGCTAAAGCACAGATGTAATCGAGGGAAGTTTAGCTAGGCCAGGATCGTGCAAGAAACTGCCTCTGGTCCCATTGCTCCTTTGGAATGTGCCTCGCATGCGACAGGGACACGCAGTTGGGACCCTGGACTCTGGGCTCTCTAGGGCTGAACCTGCCACAGTGGGTTACTGGATCCATGCCCTGGCTAAGCTCGAAATCTCGAAAGACAACATCTCGACCGAACACGACCGTGCTGGGTCTAGCCTGTTGAAGCCGACAAACAAGCAAAACTTAAACTACAGCCATGGCCTTGTGATGTTTGCTAATGAAGTCGAAGTCTGTTCTCATCAACTTCAGCGGTGTAGTCAAGTACCTTGGCTTACTCTTCTCTCTGAGCCAGCAACTGTTGAGCGTTTGTACAACAACTGGCCCAGCCACACCAGGCTGTCACGGGTTGATCTTCGGTTCCCTATCGCCGCCGGCGCTCCCATACAAGGCTTGGTACCAAACTCAAAATTGCAAGAGCCCCCTCCATCCCACCGGATACAACTACGGCATCGTTATCAACACCAGGGAATGCACACAGAAGGCTCTAGCCTCGTTTCCAGAGCCTAAGGGGCCCGAAGCCTGGGATCGATGCTACCACGCGCTGAATCCGACGTGAGACCTGTAGGCCACGTCTGCACCCACTGCAAAGGCAGCCTGCACGAAAGCGATCTCTCTCTCTCTCCCTCCCTCCCTCCGTCTCGCTCGCTCTTTCCCTCTCTGGCTGTGCACATTCATGCAAGGTCACGTTGCAGTTAGGCATTCAAAAGCTGGGGTCTCGCCATGCTGCAGCCTCCCACTTCCTAGTCGTGATTGGTGAATCAATTGCATACTGGTTAGGCGGCGAAGCTGTGAGCAGTTCTGGCTCGCGCGCTGCACCGTGAATCGAAGAATATCTTTGTCTGACATGGTAAATCCAAAGCCTGTTGACCCTGGTGGTCGCTGCCTTGTCATTGACGCCGCCACATGGCCGGCACTGCGGCACATAAACGCCCTCTTTCTCTGCATCTGGATGTATTGATTGAAGGAGGTAGGTGTCCTCTCAGGCTCGCCGGGGCTCAAAGCTGAAGCTTGCAGGACTCTTGGTGCTGGAAAACCCGCTGTACTGAAGGCAAGTCTTTGGCGACTTCGTTTCGCCCGGAGTACCTTTGCATAAACTTGCATGTGGACGGCTTGTGCCTTATGCGAACAGCACGGCGCAGACCAAAACCACCACAAGAATCCGACGTGTAGCCCAAGCTCACGAAGCATCCCAACCCCTGAGCCATTGCAGATCGCGCTCCTCCCGCAATCTCAATGTCAAATCTGGCTGCACGTCTTTTTGAAGCTCTGCACAACGACTGAGAGCTTCCCATTGGCGCCTCTGGGATGGAGATTGCCATATCCAACTTCTAATTCGTAACAACCATCGATTCTGCACGCAGTTCAGCCGAATCTCTGTGACCAAATCAAACTACAGCTCATAAGAGCCGCTTTGGTGAATTGAAATCTGAAAGCCCGAACTGTGGCCCGCACATGTGGGAGAAGGCACGCATGCGAGGATTACCTGCAGCAGGACCGGAATCTCAGAGTTTGAGCTTTGGGGTCGCTGCCAAGATCGTCGGCATTGCCGTTTTGTATCACCCTGCCCCTGAATATGCACTTGTTGACACTTGTTGAGTATGATGGGCTGCTTGCAGACAGAGCCCCGGCCTGGTTCCTTGCGGAGTTCCTCCAGGTAGCCGTGGATGATGGGAAAGTCTTCTGGAACAAAGGGGTCGTAGATCACTGAGGCCGGGCCAGGGATCAGGCCACGAAAGTCATCAAAGCTCTTGTAGGGACCAAGCACCACGTTGAGGCCGCCTGGGCAGAGGACCGGATAATCAAATCTGCACGTGCACATGATCCTAATGACGACACGAACAAGATACTAAGAACATGAAACATTAATTTTGAGCACAAGACTAACAGTAGCATAGCATAGCAGCACCATCGCAGGAGCCAAGGACCTTCTCCATGGAGCCGCTGAAGGACCCGCAGAAGTGAAGATTGTGAGATTGTCAACAACAATGAGTTGAGAGAAGCTTTTCAGCCACCGGGAAACATATCCCGGTCTCATGTGCCCCTAAGAAACCGACATTCCTGCATGCTGTATGGATAGCTGCAGATCAGGTGTTGGCACCCCCAATTCAAGTCCGATGCAGAAACCTACCAAACATCTGTGGTCTGTGCTCCATTTCCAGCCCGCCTCTGTGTACAAAATGTGTCGAATCGCGGGGGTCGAGCACGACCATGACAATCACCTCAGGTGAGAAGTAAGCCTTTCCTAAGCAACGGGGCTTGTACGTACTCGATACGGTTGGAGGACTTTCTGGCGATGCAAAGGAGGCAGGCGTCTCCACGTATACACAGTCTGACACCTTTGGTGCGGTGTGGAGTTTTGAATGGAAGTCGTGCTCCTGTCACAATCCCGTGCCAAAGCCTTAGCAAGGCCACACTACTTGGCTCCTCGAGCTTTCGGTGTCGTCTCGACATTTCGCCGTTCTCAGGGGATCTGCAAAATTTTTTGGCGAACTCCGAAATCGTCAGTACATGCTGTGCATACTTAAATTTTGAGTGCGACCTTGTTCTCCGCTAATCGTACTCCCGCTGCGATGTGGTGAGCAGTTTGGGTTCATGGGGAGCGTCAAGGGTGCTGAACGCTCTTGTCTTCGCTTGTTGGAGCAGATGATGTTTAACCTCGCAGTGTCAAAAGTGCACCTGGTCGGACTACTTGCAAGCTTCTCTACGTAGCTTCGAGGCAAGCGACCTGCATGCCTTGCCTCGAGGCAGGCTTGATGACGTGTGCGATCTTCGACTCGAGCTCCAAACGGCCCATCTGCCCGGTGATGCACACGGAGAGGGTCTTTCCGACTGCCTGCTCGAGACTTCTAAGGCCTCCATCTGTATAACCTCACTAGAATCCCGGGAGCATGGGGAGTGACACTTACCAGAGAACGCTCCATGAACCTTTGGAAGTCATCTTGAAATCGACAGCTTAAAGAGGCTTTCTCAGCTCCAGCAGACCCAGCAGACCTTCCGATCGCCACCGCCGCTGAATCGAGGAGTGAAGCCGTATCTGAACTGGGGCCACGGAGCTTCCTCGGTGCGATCCCTGGCTCCCGAAATCCGAGCACGAACGGGCCAGACTGGCCACGTGCCCTGATGCAAGCGCTTGCGGAGACACATGTGCCAACAAAACTATGCTGCAAGACGACTCCGAGTTCGGCAACTTCTATGATCAACAGGGCCAGAGAAAGTAATATAACAGCAGCAGTGACAAATCGCATTGACACCGCATTGACCGCAATAGTCGAGCTAACAAGTAGAATAGAAGGGCTTCTAACCCCCGCCCGAAAATGAAAGTTTGATATCCCACAGCGTGTTGTCAGCAGAAGGTTAGAAAGAAGAGAATGCGACTGCAAAACACAATACAATGAAAGATACAACATTCAATCGATAAGGGTTTGTGTGAGAATTGCGGATGCGGTAAATGCTCCAGGAAATCTCTGCATCTCTCATCAAGGCCTCTAGTTGCCGGCTGCCTCGTCGCCTTTCTGACATGTACCCCTTCCTGCATGGTTTCGACTGAAGCCAACACGTGCAGCCAAGAGCTCAAACTGTCGGAGGCCCAGGCCCAGGAACGCAGAGATCGCAGTAAGGTTATTGTTCTCCACGCGCACTTCCAGGAGCTGTTCCGAGGGGACAACGCAACCTAATCCGGTCTGACTGGTCAGAGGTTTCTGGATATAAGGTCTGGGGTTCAATGAGACGTAGGCTTCAGGTTTATGGGATTTGTAGGGTTTAGAATCGAGGGAGCAGGCTTCTGGGCTCGGTCGGCTTCTTGGCTTCGCCCTGAGTGTCGGGTGCCTTGTGCGATGATGGGAAGAGGCTTGAAGACCTTCGAATCTCGGAAGCAATAAGCCAGAGACTTCTTTCTCACGGCTGTTATCGCACACAACATGCTCAGGAGTCAGGACCTCGATTGATAAGAACGTCTGGAAGCTCACAGCCAGTAAGGACATTCATGTCACCGAGCTACGCCCATGACGCGATCTTGTTTTGAAGATTATGATCGACAACTGTGTTGCTACTCTTCCCGCCTTGGCTACGACTGTTCTGCTGACAGCGGTCATGGAAACGGTGTAGGCTTGGTTGCGACGTGCCGATGGCGATGTTGGCTCTAGTCAATGTCGTGCGCCAGATGCCGATGTTGATGTTGAGACAACGATGACGGGTAAAGAATCTTCTCAACGAGAACCATGCTAAACGCACACTCATGCCAAGAGCACGTCTTCTTCAAGCAAGGTACGCACCAAGTCCTGATGCGCCCGCATCAGATCTATAGCTTGCGCCTGTGACACATCCGCCTTAGCATCCCAAGGCTTCAGTACTTCATCGCTCGCCGAATAGAAGCAGGCTAATTGGCCATTAACAAAGTGCCGTGCAGTCATAGTCTACCACTGCAACCGGGCACCTAACGATTATCGGCGGTCGAGGCAAATGCTTTGGGGTCGTAAGCAATGCCATGCTCTAGAGGAACCCTATATAGTCCTGCAGCTAGCAAGATCCGGGTCATTTATGTCCAGCCGGACACACGGGCTTTCGGGCTGAGGGTACCCAGCTGAGGATCAGGGGCATGGCTTTGCACCATCTGTCTCGCTGTGACAATCTTGTGAAAAAAGGTTCTGGTTTTCAGAGCACACCCTCTCAGTAAGATGCTGCCACACGAGTATACTAGAAGTTCGAACCTGTGGTGCACGTTTGCTAGGATGGGTATGCATGGCATGCCGATCGATGGGCCTGCCCGGGACATGTTGTACTCAACTCTTCCAGTTGCCAGCTTGTTGTGACTTCAGCTACAGGCCTCTGTGGAACGAATCACTTCAAGCAAGTGCTGGTTGAAGTCGCCAGGACACAACATCGCGGTTGCACGTGGACATCGCTGGGAATGTATGCTCTGATCCTGATGGAGTGGAACTTTAGCAAGTTGAGTGTTGAAGGTACCAGTTCTAGAAATGCGTTGATGAACCACGATCATTGCTGTCTCTGCGGTATCCTCAAAAGACGGGACGCTCCGAAGTTGACTGAAAGAAACTCCCTCGTGACGTCAGCGCCCATGCGGTGGTGGTTGGCGTAGTAGAAATAGAAGGAAAAGAAATAGAAGAAGTAGTAGTAGAAGAAGAAGTGGGGGAAGTGCTGGTGGTAGTAGGAGTAGGAGTAGGAGTAGTAGTAGTAGTAGTAGTAGTAATAATAACAATGGTAACAGAAGTAGTGGTAGCAGTCGCAGTGACAGTTGTCGCTGGCGTAGTAGCAATACGCCGTCGTAGTAGAAACAGCAGTCGCGGTTGTGCTTGTGGTTGTAGTAGTGGTGTTGGTGGTTTTGGTGGTGGGGGTCGTAGTAGTAGTACTAGTAGTGGCGGCAGGAGTAGTAGTAGTAGTAGTAGTAGTAGTAGTAGTAGGAGTAGGAGTAGGAGCAGGAGGAGTAGGAGTAGGAGTAGGAGCAGGAGGAGGAGTAGCAGTAGCACTAGCACTAGCACTAGCACTAGCAGCAGTAGTAGTAGTAGTAGTAGCAGCAGCAGCAGCAGCAGCAGTATTAGTAGCAGTAGTAGTCGTCGTCGTCGTAGTAGTAGTAGTAGCAGTAGTAGTAGGTGGCGGGCGCACAGGGCGCCCTGTTTAAATCATGTAATTTCAGGGTTTCTGCTCAGGAATGGGGGGTGGGGGGGGAGGGGGGGGGTGGAGGGGGGGGGTGGAGGGGGGCTTGATAGCGTCCGTGTGTCGCAGCACTTCATAGCATCCCTTGAAAGCGTCCGTGTGTCGCTGCACTTGATAGCATCCCTGCATCGCAGCATATCGTCTCGAGAGGACATTTGTAAGCTGCCATGGCGCTCTGCTGGCCGGCACTGACGCTTTCAGCCGTCATCATTCTGCGGCTGGCGTCAGTGTCGTTGCCGGCAGAGCTGGGTGGCTTCGCGTCGTTTCCGGTCGAGGAGCTCGAGTCCTTCTTTGTCGAGCCTTGGCTGCCTACTTTCTGGCTTTGCTCTCATGTTCTTTAATTCCAGCTTTTTTTGTTTGCAAGTTCCAAAGAACCACTGGCATTCCAGGTTCTCTGCGCGGCGCACCCTGAGGGCAGCGCTGAAAGAGCCGTTCTCTGGACTATCCTCTCCGAGAACCGAAGAGGGGGTCTTCCATGGCATCTTTTGCAGACACATGCTTCGGCTTTGGGACACCTGGCCTGCAACCTTCGACATGGGATTGTCTCGTCTGAGGTGCTGCATCGCCGAATCGCTCTCGACTTCATATGCAGCTTTTGTGCTCTCGCTACGGCTTTCTTCACGAATGGCCCCTTCCAGTGCCAGGACTGCCATGGACTGACCTTTTATCGGCGACGACCTCTTCGGCTTCAGCAGCTCCTCCCAGGACCACTTCGGGCTCAGCAGCTCCTGCCACGACCAGTTCGGCCTGAGCAGCTCCTCGGACGCCGCCACACGCACCAAAGGCGTCTTTGAGCACGTTGTCTCCCCGTCCCCGTACTCTGGGTCGTTGGCTGCAGTAGGGCGAGCCTACAGAACCGCCGAACTGTTTTGATTTGCCGGAGTCGAAGCGCTTCAAGGCTTGGTTTGGCCAGCAGACTCGGGCCATGACTGGCCATGGGCTAGGGTGTCCTGTGCTGGTGTCGGAGTCGTCTCCTTTGGCAGCAGCTGCCGCTACCTCGCAGGCAACGAGTAGGGCAAGGACTACAGCTTCGGCAGCACCTACGGGCTCCGCCTCTTCTACGTCCGCTGCGCCACTGCAGGTGGCTTCGACTGGCATGGAGCTGGCAAGTGATCCACGGCCGCCTCTGTCCGCTACTCTCACGGCTGCGGCAAACCGAAGGCCTCGACCACTTAAATGGGGTTGCCATATTCACGACCAGGAGCTCCTGAAGAATGGCACTGCTGTTCGTCGTGCGCTGTGTCCGTACATCTTCCGCTCTGGCAAGAATCAAGGGCAGCTGTGGTTGGCTTGCTCGGACTGGTGGCGTGACCGCCGCTGCTGGCACAAGCAGCCCTTCGATATGAGCAACTTCAAACATCTGCCAACATGGCAACAGGACTGGCTCGATGGCAACGCCTCAATCCTAAGCTCCTACGCCCCATGCTCTAGACATCTAGACTTAAAGCCTTGCTGCGATCTCAAACTTTTGAGACCTCGAACCATGCATGCCACCAGGACGAGTTCAACGACTTGACGACAGCCTTGAAGCGAGGCGCCCGTCCTTGACCTTGCTGCAGCCGAGTCCTCTGCTTCTGGACTTCATAATACCGACACACTTGGCCTTACTAATCCTTAGACCCTAAACCCCTAAAGCCTTAAACCCTAAAGCCCTAAACCCCTGAACGCTAAAGCCCTAAAGCCCTAACCCCTGAACCCTAAACCCTACACTCTATCTAATTTAATCATATAGACATGCAAACAAAAAACTCTCGATTTTTCGTGAACGCTACTTTGTGGACAAGGTTTCGGTTTTAGGGGTTTCGGTTTTAGGATTTTGCTTAAGCTTAGGATTTTTTGTTTAACCTCTCCCCGACAAAATCATCCTGCAACCGCTAAGGTCTGGCCTCGCAGGTGTTGGTGAACCCACCGCGTAGACTTTGCCGGGACAAGACGTTTTTGCTTTTAGGATTATAGTAGTTAGGCTTCTTGTAAGATTCTAAGAGCCTTCTTCTAAGTCTGGCTCAACACGAGCGCACAGGACGCTGCGAAGACTTCGTCTGTTTGCCGCCACTCCCTACAAAACATGCTCGCAGCCATGACTTCGACGGTTTGCCGTCACACCCCCCAAAAACTGCTTGCAAGGAACATGTTCTGCCATGCTTGAGCTCTGTTCACATGTCACGTTTGCTCTTGTGCGAGTGATGCTCACAGGGGCTTCTGTCAGCTTCTTGCGACGGTAGCGCTATGGGAAAGCGTTCGAATCGCGCCAGGGCTGGCATTGTGCACAAATGTTCAGTCTGTGGCTCCTCGAAGCATCGCTTGGAGACTTGTCCTTTGCCTGGTGCTCGTGTCATTAAAAGAAACAGCTTGCAGGCACGCATGTTTTGTCCTGTCTTTCTGCTCCTACCGACCATCTAATACTTCCCCTAATAGTACGTGCAGGCTAAGGCATAATTAACTTTGCTTCAGACTGCTTTCTCTCGAAAGTGAAGCTCGCCAGGTGACAAAAAGACGGGCGTTTCCTACAAGAACAAGGACAAGAAGAACCCGTTTTCAAGAAGGGCAAACACAAGACCCAGGCGGCTCTGGCTTACAAGGGCACAGCAGCCACAAAGACGAAAGTGCTCGTTTTTTGTGGAGTCGCGTGGAGGACTTGTCCCAGGCTCCATTTTTTAGGATAACCCCTAACCCTAACTTTAACCAATGCGAATTAGCCTGATTCCTTTCATCCCCGAACTTCTGCAGGCAAGTGACAGTGACGCTTTGCAATGGTTGCTTCAGAATCGCTTCGTTGCAAAACCTACGGAGTGTCCGGCCTGTGAGCGCCAGACTTTCACAGGGCCGCAGGTGCTCCAGCGTTCTGGCCAAGAGGACTCGCACCATTGGCGGTGCTTGAACTGGAAGTGCAGGATGCGCTTGCTTCACCACCACAACAGTCCGCTGCGTGGCCTTCGAGTCACGCCAGGGCCTTTGTCCAGAATGATTACTCGCTATTGCTCCGAGCCAGCCTCACAGCCCCTCAAGGTGACGCAACTCGTTCAGCAATTTGGCATCGGAAGAACTTGTGCTTCGCACTTCTTGGCTTCTCTACGTGCCCTCGAGAGCAAAGCGGGTGAGAAGATGTGTCAGCGCATCAAGCTCACGGGCAACATCGAATGTGATGCCACATCGCTCGGCAGTTTCTACGTCAAGACCACGAATGACAAGTACGAGGACACCCTCAAGGAGCTCGAAGCTCGTGTCGGCAAGCTTCCTAAAGCCGTCCCCGTACATCTTCCGTACATCTTCGTGGTCTGGGCCTGCAAGAACGCGGCGGCCGTGTCTGGGTCTCCTTCTTGAAGCCGAAGGCTGCAGGGTTTGGGGTGTTCACCCGTCGACCCGTAGCTCTCCAGCACCCTAGTGCCCGAAACCTTGATAGGCTACATTGCCAAGATCGCCTGGACCAGTCGAGTCTTGGACAGATATCTTGGAATCCAAGGCCTTGAAAAGAGTGAAGCAGAATGGGTCACGATGCATCTACGCTGATGGAGCCGCCTGTTGGAAGCGCTTTGCCGACACTTTAGGCGCTAATAATGTTGATGATGGTGCTGATGATAATGATGATGATGATGATGTTGATGATGATGACGACGATGATGATGCTCATAATGACACTGATGACGGTTGTCATGCCATGGTGATGCTGATGATGCTGCTGATGATGACGCTAATCATAAGAATGCAGTAGTTCCCGTAACTTCCTCTAAACCTGTTTTTTGTAAACATTGTACTGGCACCACAGTTTCGCGCACTTTTTAAGTTCAATTGTAACGGGGCGCCTCATGCGCCTGTACCCTAGTAGTAGTCGTATAGTCGTGGTGTTAGTGGTAGTGGTAGTGGTAGTGGTAGTGGTAGTGGTAGTGGTGGTAGTAGTAGTAGTAGTAGCAGCAGCAGCAGCAGAGTTGTAGTAGTAGTGGTGGTAGTAGTAGTTGTTGTAGTAGTGGTAGTGGTGGTATTATCATCATCATCGTCATCATCATGATCATGTTCAGTATTTTGGTGGGGGCGGGTTGTTGGGGCGGGGGGTGGGGGGAGTGGTGGTGGTGGTGTGGGGATTTTACGCGAAGGGTCTGGCGGCAAGGCAAGCGGTGCCCCCGGACCCGGCATGTCGGCCAGCCAATTCCCTTTCTTCCTCTCCGAGTGCTGTTTGGCACAACAGTTGTCCGATGCTGGTGACTGTCTCGTTTTCGAGGATAGGGTCGTCCTTGCTATGTAATTTTGCCAATAGTCTCAGAGATTAGACCTGTTGTTGTCACAATTGTCGCGATTCTCGCAAGCTTTCGACATGCGGGGCAACGTCTCAGCTCGAACGTGGCAAGGCAAGCTGGCACATAATTGTGGCATGCATGATCGTTTTTGTTTTCCTGCGGTTGCGGACACAGGATTTTTGCCACCCAAACAAAACGGGGTGGGTCGAGGCCATGGGTGTGAATGCCGTGTACGTAATAACATTCACTACAAGGATGGAAAACAAACAGCGGCCACCATACCTCTGAGGACCACACTCTCCCCCGTCCTGCCCCAGTTTGCCAGCTTCTCAAAAAATAGGGAAACTACAGTAACTACATTGCTACATGCACAGCATATCACGAGACAGCAGCCATTACAGCATTTGCTTGTCTGCTGGAGCAAAAACAACAATTCGGACTCTGAGGGCCCGAGGGCGTAGCTTACAGGCGTGAGCTTAAGACTGACGTAGGCGTTGCAAGCAGAGGGAGGTGCAGGATTGCACGCATGGCAGGGGGCGTAGGGAGGTGTTTGCTTGGGATGACCAGCACAAAGTCGTGGCTTCGCACAAGCCCCCAAGCCCCGAGGAGGCAAGAAGAAGGTGGACATGTTGAGCTGACTAGGAGGGCTTGGTGATACCGTCAAGGAGCCTCAAACCGACACCTGAAATGGTGCGCGACCGGACTGGAGAACGTTCCCTGAGATGTATTCTGCCGGAGCCGTGCTTCTATGGGACAAGAAGGAGAGGAAGAAGAGACGGAGACGGACCCCCTTGAAGGCCGACACCAGTGCATGTGGGAGTAACCGGTTTACACTGTTCGAATATCTGCCGTGGAGGCGTAGCTGGCAAAGCGACGAGCAGCCATCGCGGCAACACAAGAACAAAGAACTTCGAAGCTGGGTAGATGCGCCACGTAGGGACCTTGCCGAAGCAAACAGAAGACTTACGTATGCAACTACACTCCGCTACACAAGCGTCCGCACAAGCAAATGGAGGCACGTGACATGTGTATACTTGATGAAGTTGTTTGCTCTCTTTCATTTCTTTGTTGAGGCATGCAGACGACAGGTGCTCTCTCGGCAGCCGCAGACTCTCCTCCGCTTCCTGCGGGCCCGGAATGGCGACTAGAATCCAGGATGTTGGAAGTCAGAGGTATTGTAATAAGGCTTGGGGGAGTATGAGTGTTGGCAGTGCTATGAGCGAACCCACAGGAGTTTTGCTACTTAGCCGGCCCCTGCTCTTGACTCCTGACTACTGCTACTAAGAGGACTGGAATCCAGAAGCTGTTGTTGACATTACCAGACATTACAAGATATGGTACTGTAAGGTCCTGTGCTCCACCGACAGGTCTCAAGAGAGTTTGGACACTTTCTAGGGTCCTTAAGGCGATCTCCAGAAGGCGGAGGTGATGTTCAGGAAGATGCTCGAGTGGCGCCATGCATTCAGTGTGGATGTGACTCGGCAGACAAGACCCAATCCGGAAAGTGGTTCCAGATCATACACGGCGCCCCTTTGACCGGAAGGCTTGAAATACGCTGCTTGCCAGGAGAAGGTCCAGCAGTGGAAGGCGGAGCTCGAAGAACAAAGCACTCAGCGAAGCGTGCAGATGCTGCTTCTCTGCAAGTGAGCTGACGTTTGATACGCTTGCTCGGTTCCTTTTGCCTCCGCCCTGTGTTTGCATGACATGGGAGCGGCATCCGAGAGCATGGCCTCAGTGCGGGCAGCGTAGGCGCCCAAAGGGCTTGGGTGGCAAACTTGATGAAAGCTGTTGCTGTGAGTTCATGCGACCCAGGAGGAGATATGAAACAGACGTGGAGCTTTGCAGGGATAGCACGGAGCTTACAAGAACGTGGTTGGAGTTCTGTGTAAACGCCCTTCGACTGTCGGTAAGTTCTGCGTGCCATGGGCATTTGGTGAGGACATGGAGTGCCAGTTCGCCTGGTTCGGACAAGTGTCGCCGACGTCCAGGGTCTAGTCCGCGAGTTCGGGAAGGACCTCGTGCTGTGTCCAGGCTGCTCTTGATAAGACGGCGAGTTACCCAAAGAATGGAGGTCCATCTGGAAATTCCGTGATTGCGCCGCTCAGGATTGACACCATCATGCGAATGGAGCGAACACATGAGGAGATTCGTCGAGCAATGCTTGAAACCGAGACGGTGGTTGCAGGCCAACTCCAGATCATCGACATGGGAGACTACGGCGATTACGGCGTCCCGAATTTGAACAGTCGGCTATTCTCGAGCCTAAAGCTCGCTGCAGAGATTTCTCAAATCACCGACGCCAATTATCCCGACACTCGGCACGCCAACAGATCCTTATCCTCGCGAAATTTCATGCACGGGTCGTTCTGTATGGCATATGTTGAATTGTTTGATTGTCGAAGAGAGGCGCTTGCCGGTAAAGTTGGCATGACCGCTGTCTTCCATCTTGTTCAGGAAACGGTGCGCAAAGCATTCATCATCCGACTTGGTTCATGCACTAGCACAGCATGGCGCTATTGCATCCAGCCGCTGCTTCCTGAGCGCACCCAACACAAGTTGGTCCCATGTGGCCCGAAGGTAACCGGCTGAGAGTGAGATCAGACGGCTTCCAGCAGACATGAAACTGCGAAGGCAGGCAGGCAGGCTTCAAGTCTGCGAGTTCCCTTGAGGCGAGCTCCTGGGAAGCGCAGCTCGGGGCAGAGTTGGATCTGACAGCTTTGCCGGCCTTCCTCCGCGAGGTGACCATGGAGCATGAGGGTGATTTGTGAATTTGGACGCTTTTGTGGTATGGTGTTACTGCAAAACAAAGCGCAACCTGGCAAATCTTGCTCTCTCTCTCTCGCTCTGCGCATCTCCCTTCCTGCCTCTTTTTGCCTGTACCCTGGCGGCAAGAAGAACGAATAGAGGCAGCTGGTGCTGTCGGGGCCAGACGTTAATGAGCCTTGAACCTGTGCGACGTGCAGCATGCCAGCAAGAAGTGCGAGAATAAGCTTCTGGGCTAAAGGTATGCCTAGTAACTGCGCAGCCAAAAAAAAGGGGTTCGAAACGGTTGCGTGTCTGTGCTTCTAGCAGTATCTGCATCTGCAGAAAGGCAAGCCAGCATGCCCAGAACGGAGTCTCAATCACACTTCTGTCGTTCCCTTGAACGTGTTTTGTGCCTCGAGGACTCGGATGCTGCCTTCGAAGCGGCCGTGCCTCGTGGGGGCTTGGTGCCAGCGGGTCTGGCTGGTAAAGACCAAGGCATGGTGCATTGATGTGCATTGCATGTGCGGTTTTCTGAGGAGTGAGGAGTGGACAGTGTAGGCCAGGCACTCGCTTCTGGATGTTCTTCATGAGCCTATGGGGACTATATCGTACCCTGATCGGACCATGAGCCACGCAACGGCCTTTGTGCAGGAACGTGGCGTGTGGAGCCAGCTGCGATGAAGAAGAAGCCGGCCGGTTCGCGACACAACGGACCAGCAAGCAAAGCTTTGAGACCGTTCCTTTTCTCGTCGAAGTCAGAAATGTCCGGAACCGCGTGCCTCAGTCGGAACGGATGGCAGTTGCGATTCTGTTTCAACAGTTGAGCTGTTTGAGCACGCCAGCGTCCAGCATCTAAGGCTGTTTATATAAGGCCGGGAATAGTAAGTAAGTATTTCATCTGCGAAGGGAGCAGGGGTGCAGCTAGCAGCTAGTATTAGGTGCAAGGTGCTCCTGCTCCGGCGAAGCAAAAGAAGGTGACACGTCAAGCCCGAAGCAAAACGATGCTACCTCATGCGGCACGATTGCTGCCTGCCTGCAAGACAGACACAAGGGAAAAGATGTGCAATGTTACTGCATCCAGGTGCGCTCGAATTCAGCTCATGTTCTTTGGGGTCGTCGCATTTGCCGCAGGAGCTCTTGCTCTGCAGCTGCACGAAGTGTCACATCTTGTCACTGTGGGATTACCATAACTTCCTTTATTTGTCTGGTCATCGCTACTTGCCGCGACCGAGCTATAGTGAAGACAACCTGGATTCGGAACAGCCAAACTTTGTTTGGAGACCGGCAGTTGACGCAGCTGACCTGCAAATAAGTCGGACCCAGCGAAACTCATGCAGCCCAGGCTGTGGAACCAGTCACCATCCTATGACCCACACTGGGAGCTGACGCAGATTCATGCAGCAGTTTGGTGCAGAATCGATGCGAGAGTGAGGATATGCAAAGATAGGCGTGCGTTGCATCTTGTCCAGACCAGCTCAGGTAGACAGCTGCATTGAAGGCAAAGAGCGATGCTAATTCAGCTTAATGCGAGTTTTGAGTTTGCCGATGAGCAGAATTTTTGGGGTTCCACTTCACAACTAATGTCACCAACAAAAACGAGCCGACCCACAACGGATCTATGCAGCGATATTTCCGCCCGCGGCACGCAGCCAAACGGATCCAAGTGGCAACCCATCTTTCCTTCCCTGGCCACAGGAAGCCAGGTGACTTGTAGAATACAAGTTGAAAATACAGACAAATGAACATTCATGATCAACTGCAGGTCTTTGAAGCAAGACATGCGCAAGTGTGAGTACCTCCGGAAGCTTGACAGTTTCACTGCGTGCACTTGTGCCGAAGTTCGGTCTCGGTCTGCGCAGGAGTCTGCCAATAACATGAGCTCTTTGCCGGACAATGACCCAGATGCTGGGCCATGCAAATCGCATGGTCCAGAAGCGAAACGATAGGCTACAGCTAGGGAGGTCTGGCTGTGAGGAGAAAGGCCTGCAGTCCTCGGCATTGCCGGGCGGCCAAGCCGGTCGAGCTCGTCCGAAAGTGCCTGGGACTGGAATCCGCTTTCTGCTCAAAGCCAGCCCTTCTTAGTATGTGATCCCACGAAGCAGCGACTCCACGCCAGCACTGCCCAGAGCTTCACACCGCAATGGGGAGCAGAGCTGCCCACAATTGGAAGAGACGGCCTTCCGTCCGCAAGAAGAGCTGCCGACTCAAGCACCTCAGAGCCTCTTGCTTAGGGCTTGCTCAGGCAGAAATTGCTCGAGAAGCTGCGGCCTTGGGGAAGTGTGCGTCGGGCATTCGGCTCGACCTGCTGGGACCCGCTGTGTTTGCGCTGAGGTACGGGAAAGGAAAGGGCAAAGGCCAAAGCAAAGCAGATCGGAAGACAGGCCTTGACGGTGGTAGGCAGAGGAGTGGATTCTCGAAAGGGAGCTGCATCGGGCTTTTCAGGTGGGAAGCATGCGGCCGGGGACAAAGAAGGCAGCGTTCCGTCGCGTTGGAAGGGGAGGAGCGGGGAGAATGCTTCTTATGCAGCTGTTAGACTTTCACAGGGGGCGTGGTGGCTCAAGCAGGACAAGCAGGCCCAGCAGGGTAGTAGGCCAACACACATGCAGCACTCCCGCCAGCAAAGCCGCAGTCGCAAAACAACACTGTCTGAGCAAGCAACCAAAAACGCTAGGCTTGTTGGAATTGGTGATGCTCGTGCCCTGCACGCTGTCGGTTCCAGAGGCAGTTCATGCCCATGTGCAACCGGGGATACTCGTTTGCAAGGTTTGCACAGCCCAGGCCGGAGTGTTGTGAAGGGTTTGCTTCGGTATCTGGAATGAGGAGGTGGCAAGCCGCGCGGCTGCCGCCTGTGAGCAGCACTTTGTGGGCTGGCTGCACTGTCCTGCTGATTGTCCGTTGGGCGGCATTAGGCGCTGCAAGTGCTTTCTGTTCTTGGCTGATGTAAGCCCGAAAGCGATTTATGGGCCTTGTGTTCTTGACTGGTGTAAGGCCCCTGGCGGTTATGTCAGCCGGAAGACTCGCCACCGGGCAGCTAGATTGGATTGGCACGAACTGGCCAGTCGCGCCGTGGCCTGACAAAGTCTTCTTCCGTGTTGGCAGGAGTTGACATTGAACCCCAGCCTTGGGCTTGGCGCACTAAGTGCAAAGCGAATGCCAAATCCTGGGCTCAGGCACGGATGAAGTCTTGGAGGCCGTCTCCGACCATGCGCCATCCTCGCAGGAAGTCGAAGCCGTTCGCTCCGAACTTGCGAAAGTGGCAGAACTCCAGGAGTGCTCGCTGTGATGGTTCCACATCCTCGGTCGAGTCTTCAACACCTGCTTGATGCAGGTTGCCGCAGCACAGTTGCGAAAGGAAGTGGATGCAAGCCATGCAAAAGTGAGCTGGTATGAGGAACTCTTTCAGGACAGATATGGTGTGTTTCTGTGGAGTTCCGGGCGGAGACTCGCCAACGGTGCCAGGCTACCCGCCTGGCAAAGCTAACAGGTGCCAAGGTGCCTGATGTAGCCTCTCAGCTGCGAAGGTGGCAACGGCTCCAGAGAGTGCCGCTAGGAAGACACGAAGCAGGCTGATAGGTCAAATAGATTTGCAAGCTGGGAGCATTCAACGAACACCTTATGGCGAAGGGACGTCACTCGCTTGCTGACCGCCGCCGCTACATAAGGACTGGACATTGATAGCTGATCGCATCAACAAGCGCTTCAAGTACAAGCCTGGCAAGGATGCGTTCTGTCCTGCCCACTACCTTACATATGAGGACTGGTTCTTAAGGGAACTGTCGCCAGCAACACTTGAGCGCTGTTTGTCCCAAGCAGCCTTGGCGGAAGTTTGCTCGCCCGTGCAGGGTAAGGCATGGGAACAGGCCGGGCGTTGCAAAATGTAGCCTGGGCGCATCCGCATACAGCCAATTGCAGAGGCAGCTGAGTGCTTTCGTTGGTGCAGGTGCCCAGCGGTGAAATGTCATTGAAGATCTCGGTCATCGCTGTTTCAGAGCTACTGCAAGTGTTGGACGGGAAGCATCTGGTGCAGCTGCGGTTGCGCTGGCCAGCCGGGTCCCTATGTGCTTGGCCCAGGGAGGGGCCGCATTATCGTTGGTGTATCAGTTCTGCATTTAAGGATTACCACCGGGTTCATAGCCCGGTGGATGGCAAGATCGTAGCCATAGACTGCTACCAGAAGGACGAGCTCTTCCCTGGCGCTGACACTTGAAAGCAAGACGGAAGTACAGCTTGTCATGACACTGACATGACCGAGGAATCCTTGACGATTTTTTCCTTCAGCACGTCCTTCGGGTTGGTGCGCTTGCTGTGTATCGGCGAATGGTCGGTCCAAAGCTTCGTGGCGCTCGGCAAGGTCGGGGACCAGGTGGCAAAGATGGACGAACTTGGCCATTTCGACCTTGGCTCCCAGGTCATTCTGTCACTACCAGACGGCTTGGACGTCTGTTTGGAGGGATCCCCAAAGCTTTTTCCTGGTGATCCGATCGCAGCAAGCGCAGTCACAGCGAGAAAGCGTGACGGTGTTGGGCCGAAGTAGGACAGAGCCGTGCAAAGCAAGCAAATGCCCAACGAACTTTCCTTCAGCAATCTTACCTCCGGTTACTAAACTTACTCACTATGCCAAGTTCACATTAGCAAGACGGGCACTGGCAAGTTTACCTATAAGAAGAGGAATACGACTCGACTGTCAACGGCCGTACGGCGATCAGTGCTCAGGCACTAGGAACCTGAAGGACAGAACTCGAAGACGAACCCTTGGGACCATGAAACCTGAATAATCGGCAGTGAGCTGAAATGTCGCATCATTTTTACGGGTTTGCTGCTGAAGAAGCGCCACGACAAAAGCTAACGCCCTCCAGGCCGACGCCGTGCTCGACATTCGGAGGCCAAAGTTGCACGCCCGAAGCGGACGAGGCTCGAAGGCCCAGATTGTTTTTCAACTGGAATCGCAAGGCTGTTTCCATGTAGAGGCGGGCGCGTTCTTGCATACACGTATGTGCACGTATACTATGGGAAAAGCACACCGATACATATGCACATGTACATATGTACAGACTCTCTCCAAAAAAGATGTGTGTATACATCTCCCCCTGCAAGTATAAAGAGAGAGAGAGAGAGACAGACGAAGGCATACATATCTCTCTCTTCCTGTGCACATAGGTATATATATATATACATATGTGTGTGTGTAGATACATATGTAGATGCGTATATGTCATATGTTGTATATCTACACAGAAAATCATACACATACATGCGTGCATGCATGTGTGCATGTACAGCCCAACCAGATATCATATCCGCACACATACGCTGATACATCGCTTGTGCAGAGAAGGAACAGGCAAAACTATGGCGTACTTCTAATGAACAGCGGAATTCCAGCTGTTGGAAACATTTACGGACATGAAGAAGGTGTCACTAGTTAAAACTGCATCGGGAGCAGTGCAACTTACTGATATACTCAGTGCTGCGCTTGCTGGTCGCTTCAGTTCGCCTACCGTTCGAAGCCCGAGAAATTTGCAGAACAGTATATGCGGATCACGCTCACATGGCTGGTAATTGCCATTCAGACCAGAACGCTTATTTCCCGATGCCTGGCTGTCATTTGCCATCCACTTAGTTGCCACTTCAAGCATTACTGGTCATACTCTACCTGTTCCAGGCTTGGTATCTTCATGTCTGCTGCTCGGTGTTGACCCTTGTTTCTATAACCGTTTCGATCACCTGTGTAGAATTGTGCCACTGCTTGTCTCAGCATAGCAAGTGCGTTTTTGCTGCCACGGTAAGATAATTACAAAGACCACTGGCCACTGGCATTGGCACCAAACATTTTCAGAACCAACATCCCCCTTCCCCTCGGACCCACTTCCCTCCCCTCTGCAAATGGGCGACCACAACAAGTTTATGTTCGAAGATTCGCAGGCCAAACTTGCTCAAGCCAGTGCCCTTGAAGATGTCGAAGTGGCAGTAAGAAAAAGCACGCGGTGGCAAGGAGCCCGAACTTCCCGCAGCGCTGCTTCTGCTGCTGCTGCTGCTGTTGTGTCTGACAGACTGCTTGGAAATTGAGATGATGTTTCTTTTCTGGCTTTGCTGAATTACGACGCCTGCCTCGTGTTGGGAAATGTTGGGAAGCACACTATTTGCAGGTCCTCGTCTAGTGGGACGAAGGTGAGAGCCGCGGCTCAGGGTGTCATGGCGACAAGATTTGTGCACAGTTCAGTTTTATTTGCAAGTCTGAAATGTCTGCCAGGCTGCATGCGGCACACCAAAGCACAAAACCGCTTCTACTCCACCTATGAAGCCGAGGCCAGCCCACGAATGGCCGGAGGCCGAATTTCGAAAGGATCTACATTTAGCTTCTTTCCTTCGCGTTATGCTACTACGTTTTGCCTCGGTATCGACACTGCTCTATCAGGGATATCATGTACGCTTTGCAATGACGAGCTTCCGGTACTTCAGCTGCTTGGGCTTGGGGCCTGTTGGCGAGGATCTGACATTCAGTGTCGGTGATCAACACATTAAGATCCGACCACGGATGCTTTCGGTTGCGGTTGCGACCCAGAAGGATGGTACTTGTAGCTGAGCAGCTGAGAGAAAGCTTCCGAGATCAAACTGCTCGGCGTGCCTTTTTTCTCCAGACAGATAGCTTTAGATATTCGGGGTTCTAGCTGAATAGGGAGGACATGCACTCGGCATGCAGGTGGGGCCCTGTCCGCCGCCGGCGAAGGGGCATGTATAGGCATGCGCCGGCAGGCACAAGCAGGTCCAAAAAACGCTCCTGGACCAGTTCAAATTTTGACAACGAAAAGCCAACGACATTTAGTCGATTTTGGTGGCGAGTTTTTGGGACTGATTTCCGGCTTGAAAACTAGGCAGCATCAGCAACAAGTGCACAAGCCTCGCCAGGACCCCCCCAAATTGCCAACGAAACATCAACCAAACTTAGTGGATTGTGTGCGAGTTTGGGGAGCGACCATTGCACAAGCCGGGTCCAAAACACGCTTTTGGACCCGCCCGAATTATCAGAAACATCAACTAAATTTAGTTGTTGTTTTGGGCGAGTTTCGGGGATGGACAACAGCAGCAACAAATGCACCGGCCGGGTCCAAAAAGCGCTCCTGGACATGCCAGATTGCAGAACACAAAACAACCAAATTTAGGTGATTTTTCCAGAACGGACATGACAATGAGCCAGGGAAGCAAGGTCAGGGCGCGAGGCCGCGAGGTCGCGAGGCGAGGCCCCGAGGCGGGGCGCCGTGAGACGCCGCGAGGCGCTGTGGAAACAATGAGCAAGCCGCTCGAAAATGACTAGAGTCTAGAGTACACAAGCAAACCGGGAGCGAGGCACTTGAAAAGGATTCGAGCATTTGAGAAACTAGGGAGCAAGCCGCTCGAAACGGACTAGAGTATTTGAGAACCGGGAAGCAAACCGCTAGAAAGGGACTAGAGTATTTGAGAAATTTTGAGAATCAGGGAGCAAACCTTTCAGAAAAGCTAGAACAGTTGAGAAACAGGGGGCAAACCGCTAAGGGAATAAAGTGTTTGAGAAGCCGGGAGCAAGCCGCTCGAAACGGATTAGAGTATTTGAGAATCAGGGAGCAAACCGCTCGAAAGGGACTAGAGTATATGATGAAACAGGTAGCAAACCGCTCAAAAGGGACTAGAGTATATGATGAAACAGGAAGCAAACCGCTCGAAAGTGACAGGAGGATTTGAGAAACAAGGAGCACACCGCTCGAAAGGGAGTAGAGTATTTGAGAAACAGGGAGCAAACCGTTCGAAATCGAAAAGGCTTAGAGTGTTTGAAATACAGGGAGCAAAACGTTCGCAAGCGACAAATACGCTGAAGAAACAAGAGAGCAGACTGGTCGAAAGGGGCCAGAGTATTTGAGAAACAAGGAGCAAGCCGCTGGAAAGGGACTAGAGTCTTCAAAGGAGCAAACAACCCCAAAGAGAACTACGGTGTTTGGGAAACATTGAGCAAACCGCGCAAACGGACCTAATAGTAGAGTATTTGGGAGATAAGGAGTCATCCGTTCGAATAGGACTAGAGTGTATGAGAAACGAGGGGCAAGCAGCTCGAAACAGAGAGTATTTGAGACACAGTGAGCAAACCGTTCGAAAGGCATAGAGTACCGCTCGAAAGGGATTCGAGTGTTTGAGAAAGAAGGAGCAAACTGTGCGAAGCCGGTTTGAGTGATTCAGAAACAGGGAGCAAAACCGGCCTTGAGGAACAATAACCAAACCGTTCGAAAGAGACTAGAGTGTTCGAGAAACAACAAGCCAATCAGCAAACCGCTCGAAGCAGACTAGAGTACAGAGAAACAGGGAGTAAAGCGCTCGAGGGGAATCCGAACATTTGAAAAACAAGCAGCAAGGCGTTCGAACAGAAACTAGAGTGTTTGAGGAGCAGGGAACGAACCGCTCGCAAGGGACTAGAGTATTTGCGAAAAGACAGAAAAGCAGAGCAACTGGCTCGAAAGGGACTAGGGGTTTTTAGAAACAAGGAGCAAACCGTAGGAACAGGATTAGAGTGTTTGAAACAAGGAGCAAAAAGTTCGAAAGAGACTAGAACTTTTGAGAAGCAGGGAACAAACCGCCTCGAAAGGGACTAGCGTATTTTGTGACACAAAGAGCATACAGCTCGAAAGGGATTTGAGTATGTGCGACCAAGGAACAAACCGTTCCTTAGAGTTTTTGAGAAACAAAAAGCAAATCGCCCAAAAGGGTTTCGAATTTTTCAGAAACACGGAGCAAACTGTTCGAAAGGGACTAGGGTGTTGCAGAGACAGGGAGCAAACCAGAAAGGACTAGGGTATTCACAAGACCTTCCGAGAAGGCCTAAAGTAGTTGGGAAACAGGGAGCAAACCGCTCTCAAAAAAACAAGAGTGCTTGAGAAACAAGGACCAACCAGCTCGAAAGGGACTATTGGGAAACGGCACGCAATGTTCTCAATAGGCACTACAGTCTTGCAGACACAAGGGTCAAACCGCTCCAAAGGGACTGGTGTAATGGAGAACCAGGGAGCAAACCGCCCGAAAGGGACGAGTTGTTGAAGAATTGGAAACAAACCGCTCGAAAAGGGACTAGAGTTCCTGAGAAACAGTGCGCAACCCGCTCGAACACAACAGGGAGTGTACTGCCCGAAGGGGAATAGAGCGTTTGAGGAACGGGTAGCATACCGTTCGGAAGGGGTGGGAGTACTTGCGACGCAGGGGAGCGAGCCGTTCGAAAAGGCATAGAGTGTTTGAGAAACTGTGAGAAACAGGGAGCTCACCACTCGAAAGTGAGTAGGGTATTTGAGAGAAAGAGGGAGCAAACCGTGCGAAAGGAACTACAGTCTTTGGAAGACAGCCCTAAGAGCAAACCGCTTTGCACGGGACTAGTGTATTTGAGAATCAACAAGCATACTGCTAGAATGGGCTCAGGGTTTTGGCCAGACAGGGAACAAACCGATCGAACAGGTATAGAATGTCTATGAAACAGAGTATCTGAAAAACATGGAGCAAACTGCTCGAAAGGGACTAGAGTGT